CTACGAAGCAGGGATAAAAACAGTGCCTTCTTCATAGAGTTCTTGTGAGAATTAGCTGACATAATTCATACAGAACTCACGTATATGGATTTTAAGCCTATAAATGTTTGCTATTTGTACTTTCAAAAATTAAAACACTAAGATATTTTCACGTTGAAAATGTAATGTCTCCAATTTAGCATAATTGTCAGGGATTGTTTTTCTTTCTTATGTACTGCAAAAATAATCATTGTCAGAACAGGAGGCATTTTATTATAGTATTTAACTAATACCATAAACTACATGTCTTGAATATATTTCTGCATCAGTAAATGGTGCATAAGGGTTCACCAAAATTAGCATACATATTTAAATACGTGTTCTGTATTAAAGAAATGTTTGAAAGTCAGAAACAGAATAAACATGAAAAAATAAAGAAATAATCATTGTGAACTTGTGAATGCTAATAGCGTCAATTTGTTTTACACCCCCACCCCAGCAGCTCCCAGCCTTTTTGGCACCAGGGACTGGTTTCACGAAAGACAGTTTTTCCAAGAGAATTTCAGGATGAAACTGTTCCACCTAGGATCCTCAGATTATCAGGCATTAGATTCCCATAAGGAGCACACAACCTAGATCCCCTGCATGTGCAGTTCGCAATAGGGTGACTGCCCTATAGGTAGGTATAGTGTTAATACTCCTATGAGAATCTAATGCTGCTGATGCGACAGGAGGTGAAGCTCAGGGGGTAATGCTTGCTTGCCTGCCACTTACCTCCTGCTGTATGGCACAGTTTCTAACATAACAGGTCACACACGGGTACCAATCTATGGCCTGGGAGTTGAGAGACCCTGCTCCACACAAAAATACCCTCACATACATGTGTATTTTTGTTTATGTATATGAAAATAATGTAAAGGTACTTATCATAAAGTAAGATTATTGTACATGCTGTCTTTTCTTACTGAACAATATATGTTGCCAGGAATTTATACTATGAATATCCCGTAAAATAACATGATATATATGTAAGATTAACATTGTGACATTGATTGTAGTAGGAGAAAGGTAGCTAATTATTCTAAGATTTTTAAGTGTCAAAAGGAGAGTTGAAAAAATAACCGTTTAGCAAGCTGTCCTCAAATGTAAACTTACACTGGCTTATCATCCCTGCCTTGCTTGGATTCAAGAGTATCTTTATCTTCAGTCAGTTTGGCAAATCACAAATTATAACCTACTCTTTGGCAGGGCTCTCTGCTTGGCCCTGTGGCCTTAGGTCTTCTGTTCCCTGGGCCCTCTGCACCTTCACGGCCTCATCACACAGCACTGATATTGCCTGTTTGCTTCTCCATACTCTCCATTCGTAAACTCCATGAGAGCAGTCTCACTCTAAGAGAGAGTGTGTGTATTCTTGGTTGGTATTTTTTCAGTGTTCAGCACAATGCCAAGCACAGTAGGTGCTCAATAAATGTGTGAAATGTAAACCTATGGATTGACTTGCCTGCATTTTGCTTTGACCCCTCTACTATATTCATATACTTTATTCTTTAGTGCATGTGTTTAATTATTTCTTCTGTGTGTGTGTCGGCAATGCCTGACCCTAGTTGGGTAAGACACTGTCTATTTCATCAATCTTTCCATGACCAGAATGGAAAAGTTTGGTGTGATCAGGCCTTTAAATGCTGAATAAATTGGCTGAAATTAAATTATTTTAAGCTCAAGGGCAGGGATGATAGAGTTTTCTTTTATATTGTCTTACTCTTTTTGAATTTTTACATAAAAAGATATTCAATAAATATTAATATAAAATGTGACTTCACAGAAAATATTGACAAAAGAGAACAGTAGAGTAGCTAATGTGTCTAACAGATTTTTTTTTTTTTTATTTGAGACAGTCTCACTTTGCCATCCAAGCTGGAGTACTGTGGTGTAATCAGGGCTTACTGCAGTCTTGCCTTCCCTGGGTTCAAGCAATCCTCCCACCTCAGCCTTTGGAGAGGCTGGAACTACAAGCACCATACCCAGCTAATTTTTGCATATCTTGTACAGGACCAGTTTTGGCATGTTGCTCAGCTTGGTCTCAACTCCTGGGCTCAAGCAATACACTTGCCTCAGCCTTCTAATGCTGGGATTACAGGTGTGAGTCACCATGCCCAGCGGTGTCTGATAATTTTAAAGAAGAATTATACTAAACTGGGTTTACATTTTAGCAGATTTTGACACCCACCAGACATGAATTTGACTGTTGACTCTGTAGTTTTAAGCCTCAGTTTCTCCATTTTAAAATGGAGTTAATAAAGCTTACCTCATTGAGGTCTTACGAGGGATAGATAGGATAAAATTTTATAAACACTAGGCACACAATATAGTGGCCTGTAATAATTGGTTTATTATTTTCTTTTTGACTAATTTACAGTCATCAAGATAAAAATAGGAGATTCTTTACATTTGTACAATATGCCTGCATATTTATTGGCTTATTTTCTTACAAAAACATGATCTTGTTAAATAGCATAAAAGCCTCTGGGCCTTTATAATTCTGGACAAATAGCAGTGCATGCAGTGAACAAACTAGCTTCATATTGCAGCTTCCAGAGGTGAAGAAATGTGAAAACTGGACCAGAGCATCAGGAGGCTATAACTCTGGGTTCTAGAGTTGAGAATGAATTGCCCTGAATTCTGGTTCTTGAACTCTATCACCACATCTCCATGCAAATGAGGGAATTAAAGCTAAAGATAATTTTGTCCATAGTATACACAAAAAAAAATGTAGCCTTGTTCCAGTGTTCAGATTTCTGTGGCATTCTCTGATTTAGAATTGCCTAAAATAGCATCTGAGAGTGGTGAGTTCAATCACTTTATTCCCCATATGATAACTGCAAATTAGGAAATCATTGAATATTTGAAGCTGGATTAATTTCTTGGAGTAAAATTTGAAAATGAGAGAGGGAAAAAAATGCACCTGTAAGTTTGCATGTACGTATAATTGTGTGCAATTATTTCCTCCTCTCATTTTCAAATTTTACTCTAAGAAGTAAATATATGTATTTGAGATTTGGGGGAGGCCAAATTTATTCCCTTTAGTGACAGACATAACTGTACCATTACAGCCCTTTGCTGGAGAAAATCTGGCCAACAAAGGTTGCTGCCGCTCACAGAAATTCCAAATGTCTCTTTGCAGGCCTCAGACCCAGAATTTGAGCCTGGAAGGTGGAAGCCAAGTATTCATGGTTCTTTTTACCAAAACCCTTATGAGGGACATCACTTTCCCTCAACTGGGAAGACTAAAAAGATGAAGCTTTCTATAGTTTTCTCTCTGGGAAAGTGGGTTGGAAATATCTTCTATGAAAGCATAAAGTGTGTGTGTGTGTGATATTGCCTGTCACTATTGTGTAATAAATTTTGTGTTTAATAACTCTGTGTGTGTGTGTGTGTGTGTGTGTGTGTGTGTGTTAGGGGTTGTATATGTACACACACATTTTCTCTTTAATGTCTATATATACAATGATTTGTATTATAGGTATACACACCCATGTTCATACTCCTTGTGAGAGAAACAAGAGAAAGCAGAAAAAGGAAGAGAGAGAGAGAATAAAAAAGGTAAGAAGACAGAGTAGTCATAGAGCCCAATGAATGGAAAGCAGTGTAAAAGAACATCAGCTAATTTACTAATGATAAATTGTCATCACTCCTGTTTATCTTTGATCTTTTATTTCTATGATTAACAATATTGTTATGTTACCAAAGTCATAAATAATTTATTGTTTCATAACATCAATTTTTAGAATGTAAGGCAAACATGGGTATTCCCTAAGAGTACATATTGCCTTTTCACATAGCTTAAGATCCGTTTTTATGTAACATTTATTCATTTCTAGTTTGCAGTCCATGTTTTTTCAGAAAGAATTGGGATGGGATGGCATTATGTTATAAATTCCTTTATTTATATGATTTATTGTGGTCTCGGAAACTAGGGGAATAAATGTCTTCTGTTTTGTTATTTAAAGGTCAAAAATTTCATCCATGTTTATCCATTGTTTATTTTTTAAAAAACATTGGTAGTATTAGTGTTGTATATAGTTTATGTTTACTGAATGAAATTCAAATGGCATTTTGTATGATGGCATTTTTGTATAAGTACTTAAAAAAATATCCTAGAGTGTGATTATGTTAATTTTCTTTTGGAATTTTTTAAGGGTGGTGGCCAGCAGTAATTAAATAATAAAAAGAGTTTAGATGCAAATTTATTGTTTATTTGATTAATTATACAGACTTTTTGCACTTACATACTCTTTTCCTTGTCTTCAGTCTCTGCTGATGGATACGGGATGTCAACATAAATTGAAGATGTCACCACAGATTTTTCTAGATAATGTAGCTGTGCTTTGAATTTATTAAGACTACAGAATAAAGGAAGAAATATTATTTATGCTCATCTAGGTAAATAAAATATTATATATAGAATAGTGTTAAACATAACTGGCTCACATTTTCACTTTTAATTACTTTCAAAATTCTAGTTCAATTAATTTGTTCTATTTTATAATATAAATGGGGCATATTTATGAAACAGGAGATGTTCTCTGTAAGCACCAACAGATTACCTGTTTATATTTGTGTTTGTCTTAATCGTTCTTAATTTTAAAAATCTGATAGCTGGCACTTATCTTTCTGTACACATTACTGGTATTTAATGACTGAAAGATTCCAGTAACTACAGTACATAGGAATTCAAGGAATTCAACAAGCATTATTGTTATAATGTTGTTTGTTCTTATTACTAATATTTGTTATATCAAAAGATTTAATTATATCGGAGGAGTAGTAGCTTTGCTTTTATTGGCTCTTGAAAGAAATAAATGGCTTTTCTACAAACAGCTTTTCGATCTGCTTAAATGTTAGCTAAGTACATCGGAGGCTGAAGAGTTGCTTTATTATCCCCAATATCATTGAGTTGGGGTTTGGGTGTGGCGGGGAGCGTGCATGGGGCTGTTTGTATTCTTATCTTTTCTCTCTTTCAGTGCACTAGGTCATTGCTTGGTGTCCACTGCCTGCAGCAGAAGGGCTCATCATTGTGTTCCCGGTGCTCACTCCCAACCAGCCCTGCTGTTTCGGCTCCAAGCACAGAGGAGGAGGCCCTGCCTGTCTCCATGACAACCGTGTGTCCTCCGGGAAGCTGCTCAGAGCTAAAGACCTTCTCAGGCGGGGGAGGGGCTGTTTTTGAGCAAAATCTCACCTCGTTTCTCCTCTTTGCAGCGCAATTTGCTAAATTGTGTCTCTTTTATTGTGTTTTTATATAAGACTATTACACAAAAGTCACACGCCCCAAACCTTATTTCATGAACATAAAAGCCACATCACAAGGATTTTTCTAGCATCTGGCACATAATTTCACACACCCCTCCCCTTTTTGTGTTAACTTTAACTTTGTCTTTGGTTCTTCATTTCCCTGGAATGATTTAAATATTAATGAACATTCAAAAGCCAAACACTCCCTTAGCCTGGCAATATTGTTAGCATACATTATAAATACTTGAAAGGAAACACTTTTTTCTTTGCTTTGTGCTTAAATTTACTAGCATAATTTAAAATGGTAGCATTAAAAATGTCTTACCATTAGACAACATTAGACGTATGTTATATATATTATAAAAAAATAAATTTACAAAATTAATTCACTAGGGGGTGAGCAATTGATTTATAATTGTCACAAATCCTTAACAATATTTTACACATAAACATATTTTGGAAAAATAAACTTTGCTTCTATAGCCACCCAGTGGGTTCTTTTTGCTTGCTGCAGAGATAGAGCTGAGTTTTCCAGACAGGGGAATGGCAATAAAGTATTGAATACAAGTCAAGCTGGCTAAATGGGAGGTGGGAGTTCTTTTAAGACTCAAATCAACTTCCCCCCAAATTCTGAAGCTAGGGTTTTTTAAAGATAGTTTGGCAGGCAAAGGCCAGGGAATGGGAGGGCTGATTGGGTGGGTCCAAGTTGAAATCATAGAGCGTTTAAGCTGTCCTCTTGCGCTAAGTGGGTTCCTGGGCTGGGCCACAAGAACAGATGAGCTAGTTTACCCCTCTGGGTGGCATCAACTGATCCATTGGAATGCAGGGTCTGAAAAACACCTCAAACCTCCTAGGTTGTACAATAGTGATGTTACGCCTAGGAGAAACTGAGAATGTTAGGAAGCTGGTGGCCTCTGGTTGTATGACTCCTGAGTCATAATTTATAATCTTGTGGCTAATTTCTTAGTTTACAAAGGCAGTCTTGTCCCCAAGCAAGAAGGGGGCTTGTTTCTGGTAGCGGCTGTCATCATCTTTGTTTCAAAATTAAACTATAAACTAAATTTCTCCCAAAGTTACTTCAGTCTGTGCCCAGGAATGAACAAAAGTAGCTTGGAGGTTAGAAGCAAACTGGAGGCCGGGTGCGGTGGCTCATGTTTGTAATCCCAGCACTTTTCGAGGCCAAGGCAGGTGGATTACCTGAAGTCAGGAGTTCGAGGCCAGCCTGGACAATATGGTGAAACCTCTTCTCTACTTAAAATACAGATATTAGCCTGGCGTGGTAGCGTGTGCCTGTAGTCCCAGGTACTTGGGAAGCTGAAGCAGAAGAATCGCTTGAACACCAGAGGCGGAGATTGCAGTGAGCCAAGATTGTGCTCTCAAGCCTGGGTGATGGAGCCAGACTCCACCTCAAAATAAAAAAGAAGCAAAATGTAGTCAGTTAGGTCAGATATTTTTCATTGTCATAATTTTTGCAAAGGTGGTTTCACTCCCAGAAAATAAGTATTTTTTATTTTGACCCGTGGCTGTACCAGGTAACGGTAGTGAGCTGGAACAATTACTTTAGCTCTGTTCTCTATAATTTATCTCATGGCAGTTTCTTCTAGTCTTGTGGCTTCAGAGAGCACCTTCAATTAAATGAATTACAATTTATTTCAAAGGTGACTTGTGAGCTTTCTTAGGCTAAGTGTAATGGCTTTGTGTAGAGTGAACTTATATAAGGTGGAACTACATTTCCCAGAATTCCCTTTCTGGTCTGGCTTTGCCTTGGCCTTGTCCGGAGGAAGGCCCCCATATTTTTTTTACCTTGTGAGGGTGAGTTATGGCCGCAGGCAACATGCTAAATTGCCTCTGTTGCTACTCATCTAGTGACATAGACCACAGTGCAGCCCTTTGTCTTCTTAGCTCCCATCATGTCTCTTCCTTCACCTTTTGAGTCCTGGCCTAGGCAACTTGTTCAGCTCCACACTGCAGGGGTTCAGTTTCTTTTGCTGGTCACCCACCCTCAGGATGTTCTCTTTTGGCATCTCTAAATCCTGGGCAAATGCATGTACAGGAGAAGCCTGACTACATTTATTTATTTATTTATTTATTTATTAGAAATGGCACTAAGCTTGACTACCTTTAAAAGAGAAACAGACAAATCTATACTTATATAGGAGATTTTAACACACTTTTCTCAGTATTAGAATAAGCAGGCGAAAACTCAGTAAATAAAGAGAGGATCAAACATTAAATATGTAGATCACTGTGTCTCACCATTGCCGAGCAGACATTCTTTTCAAATACATGCAGAACATTTGCTAAAAAAGACTATCTGCCATCTGTAAAGTAAGTCTCAACAAGATTTTAAGGCAATGAAATTAAACAGGCTATGTTCTTTGCTCCAATGGGATGCTGCAATGGAATTAAACTTGAAGTTAATGACAAATTTACTAAAATATTCTTATGGTTCTTGAGTTGAAAGTGGCAACTTGAGAGTGACAAGGTTCATAGATTTGGAAAGGAGAGCTTTATTTCTCATAAAGGGTTGGAGCCTGTAGGGTGGTTATTCTGACAGGCTGGAAGGGATAGCCTCTGGCCAGCACCAAAAACAGACACTTCTAGAGAGGGACAAAGGGAACAGGAATTTATGCTAAGTAGGGTGGCCGAATATACATATTTAATAAGTTATAGAAAGAGTCATGAGAGGAGTACCTGGGATCCATGAAGGAGCATGAAGCTCAATTGCACATGCCCATGGTTCTTCTATGAGAGGAACATGTGCCACTGAGAAGAGAAGTATGGGCATGTGTAATTGAGCTTCATGCCCCTTCATGGATCCCAGATACCAAAACGCAGCTATGTTAGTATGATCCAAAGTGGAGACTTTAGCCCCCTGACACCCAAGTTCAGGCAGAAGATGTGAAAACCCTTCCCGTACATTCTCCGTAGACTGGCCAGACCCCTCCATGGTTGGTGTTTTCATATTAAGAAGAAATTCTCATCAGTTATGCTGAAACCACAAAAGGAAGCGGGTAGCATTAGCTGGTTGGTTGATAACAATGGTGGGGTCTTTTGAAAAGCCTGGTTTCTGTTTAGCCCTTTGGGAAGGAAGCCTCATTGTGGTTTTCCAGGGAGGGGGTATCATGAGACATGTCTGACCTCCTTTCTTGCCATGGCTGATAACTCAGTTTTTAAGATTTCTCTCGGGTCCCAAGGTTTCTCTCTCTTGGGAGCTTAGAATTTCACTTTTATTTTTCAAAATCAAAGATGTACTTTTTTTTTTATTTCTTGAGACAGGGTCTTACTCTGTCACCCAGGCTGGGAAAATTATAGCTCACTGCAGCCCTGAACTCCTGAGTATAAGTGATCTTCCTGTCTCAACCTCCTGAGTATCTGGTACTACAGATGCATGCCACTATGTGCCTGGCCAATTAAGAAAAAAAAAGCAACTTTTATTGTAGAGACAGGAGCTTGCTACATTGCTCAGGCTGATCTCGAACTCCTGGCCTCAAGCAATCCTGTGATTCTTCCCTCCTGCTTCAGCCTCTCATAGTGCTGGGATTACAGGTATGAGCCACTGTGCCCAGCCTACAAAGATATACATTTTAAAACAATCCATAAGTCAAAGAAGAAATTGCAATTAAAATCAAATATTTTGAAAGAATAAGAATATGAAATACTACAATACTAAAACTTGTGGGATGCAGCTAAAACAGTGCTATGAGAGAAATTTATGTTTGTAAATGCATACATTAGAGGCTATATGCATGATCTAAGTTTCTGTTTCAGAGATTAGATTTAAAAACACAACAAATTAAGCCTAAAGCAAATAGAAAGAAGAAAGAAATAAAGAAATGAGCAAAATTTAATGAACTGGAAAAACAAACATGCAGTAGAGAACTCAACAAAGCTGAAAGTTGATTCTTTTGAAAAAAAAACATATAAAATCAATAAATTCCTCTCAAGACTAATTAAAACACAAGGAAAAGGAAGAACAAATAACTATATTGAGGAGAAAAAGGTGAGATAATCATACTTCTTATAGAAAGTAATAAGATTATAAGGAGATATTGTGATCAAGCTTATGCCAATAAATTTATAAATTTAAATCATATGGAAATATTTTCAGAAAAATACAACTAAATACATAAAGAAATAATCTGAATAGCACTACAACTATATAAAAGTTGGATTTGTAATTTAACACATTTCCACATAGAAAATGCCAGACTTAGATGACTACACTAATGAATTTAAACAAATATTTATGAAAGCAATAGCATCAATCTTTCAAAGCTTTTTCAAAAATATAGGAAAAGAAAATATTTCCCATCTTGTTTTTGAGACTATTGTAACAATTATATCCAAATTTTATTTGGTTATTGCAAAAATAAAAGGGAAATTATAAAACATAGCTGTAAAATCCTAAATAAAATATTAGCAAACATATTGAGTTATGTAAAAAAATACAGCACAATCAAATTGGGTTTAAACAGAAAATGCAAATTGGGTTATCATTTAAAAATTAATTTCTATAATTCATATTATAGTTTAAAGGAGAATAGTCTTATGGCCATTTTGATAAAGAAAAAATAAAATTTAATCTCCATTTGCATTAAAAAATTGCCTGTACTGTAATAATTCTTGCTTAGTATTACATTAGCAAACTTGTCATAAAATTAAGTCCTTTAATCTGATAAAAGTATCTAGCCAAAATTGTAGTAAATGTTATGATTTACTACATATGATTTACTTTATGTAGTAAATCATAACATTTACTACATAAAGTAAAATCATAACATTTACTACATAAAGTAAAAGTAAGACACTGAAAGTTTTTTTCTGAATTCAGAACCCTCATCACTTCTATTCAACATTACACTAGAGGTGGTAGTCAGTAAAATGAAGTTAGAAACAAAACTAACATGAATTAGAAAAGGAAAAACAAAACTGTAATTAAAAAAAAAATTAAAAATCCAAACAGAAAATGCCAGATTTAGATGGCTGCACTAATGAATTTAAACAAATATTTATGAAAGCAATAGCATCAATCTTGCTAAACATTTTCAAAAAAATAGAAAAAGGATTCATGGTCAATATAAATAAATGTATTGTATTTTTATATACTGGTACCAAACAATTAAAAATGAAATGTAAAAAAAAAAAAAAATCAAAACATACTAGTGACAAAGAATTAAAAACATCCAGTTATTAGTAATCTAATTAACGAAGTATAAGACTTTTATACATAATAAAGTTTCACCAAGAGAGATGAATGAAGACTTCAGTAAATGGAGAAACAAGTTAAGGATTGTAAACCTAATAATGTCAATTTTCACCAGATC